GCAATATTGATTTTTTCTTAATTGGTATTCCAAAGAGTAACGGAAAGAAGTAAGAGCTAAATTATATTTGTTAGCTTTGTACAAATAAACTAAAAATGTGACACTGTAGTACAAGCAATATTGGTTGTATACACTGAACTGATTCTGCTAAATGGGGCATTTATCAGTTAAGAGAGCTTTTGCACCTAGTGAGTCAGATGAACGCAACCCTAAATAGAAATAAAGGATAAGTTCACCCTTGGAAGATGTTACATGTTCCATCCGCTTTTATGCTGAAACATGTAGCATGTTCCAACATCTTCATCTTTTCTCCCTCCTGTGACACGGTTGTCACTTTTTGAAAAAAGGGCGCCCCATGCAGCTGCGTCATTCATTCAGTCTCTTGTGAATGGATAGACTACAAGTACAGTCAGACATTGCAGCTGACAGCTTGTAGTTCTCAATGAACAACAAGGGTGTTGATAAGTGAACGTGGCCATTAGGGCTCATGTACACTGCAGCTGATAAACTCACGTTTAGGAGCTGTTCAGTGTTTTTTTTCAGCAGCCCCTGAACTCACCCTAATGTTTTCCTATGTGTCCATGTACACATCTTTGTGTACAGTCGTTTACAGGCATTTGAGTTTACAGTCATTTTTTTGAACGCAGAAAACTTGCTTTCAGCAGTCGATTTTATCAGCGTTACAAACGCAAAACGCTTGTAATCGCGGCAACTCACGTTTATAAGCATTTGAACATTTTTTTTAACTATTCCAGTTCCCAATGCTGTCCAGAGCCTTTTTTCATCATGAAAAATGCATGCAAAGCGTTTTCAAGGTGCTCAAATGGACAAAACACTGAACACAGGATGTTCCTACCAAGCTTGTCACACATATTAATGACCAATTCACGCCTCAGACATCTCCCACCCTTGGAAACAAAAGATATGTTCATGATCATTCACACCTCAAATTCCTCATGAAGACCCCCCTGCCAGGTGGCCTTAATGACTCACTCCACCAGACACTTTTCCCACCCTTTGAAACAAAAGAAATGTTAATGAGCAACTCACACCTAAGCTAATCTCAACACATACTGCTTTCTCTGCTTCTACCCTCTGAATTTCTCTGAAACAGTCTGAAATAGTTAATAATTTACCACTTTTCAGTGCATTCTGGACATTTGGGAGGTTCTCCTGTACTTATCTTTAAAAAATGCTTCTAAACACAAACGCGTATAAACGTGTTATGCAAACGTGGTTAAACAGACGGTTTTTAACCTACGGTTTCCAGCAGTCAGTTTCCATCGCTCAGAAGTGTCCCGTGTACATGGGGCCTTAAAGATGAAATCCAGGCAGATTTATGAAACACAAAGAAATGCAGTATTATATGTATTAAAATATCATTAAACACATGCTTAAAAGCCAATGTAAATATCGGAATTTGCCTTGGTCATCTTATCCCGTACACATCAGCACACATGTGGGCAGCCAACCGCACAACCACTGCATGCAATTGCACTGAAAGTGAAAGTGCCAACAGGAAGACAAAGTAGAGTAGAAGAGGAAGACTGGAGAAGATCTTGAGTGTCCTCCAAACTCCTCTCTACTCAAATGCTATGTTCTAGTCCAACCTGCTGCAGGCCTGGCCATTCACGGCCCCCACCCCATAGCACACAAACAGGGTGGAATGCTGGTGACATTGGTGCACTTATATGGACACGTGTGCATATTTAGTCAATGACACTGACTATATATGAACTTTCAAGTTCAAATAGGAATGAGTTCAGAGGACACTCAAGCTCATCTTGAGAGATGGCCTTCTCAGTCTGCTGCTGCTGTTGCACTGCTGTCCAAACAGCTAACTGTGGATGAGTTTGACAGTGTCACTTATCAAGCAGTGCTGCTGAAGTATTGAATCAGAAGAACGGTAACAAATTTACAAATTTCAAGGTAGCTAGAATGGTCTCCGTATTTGTTTTATTCAGCTACGCTTGCCTGGAGTTCAACTTCAAGCTAACCACACAGAATACAATCTTACGTATATGTTGAACAGTACAAAAATAGAGACAACATAAGTTGTCAGTTTAAAAAACAGCAGTAAGGCCTTACTGTGGCCCTACTGTTGCTAAAAAAGAAAAAAGGGGAAAAAAAAAGCACAACTTGCCATGTCAGTGACTTTATCACTCCAAAGCAGAGAGGGAGAGAGCAGGAAGGAGAGCCTAATCATTTGACCTTGTTAAAGGGATGTAACTGGCCTCTCCTCCAATCACAGAGTTCCCTCTGAAGCGATTAAGCAAAGGCAATTCCATAGGACACTACAGATTCTACACCAAACTCTGTATTTTATAAATGGGCCTTAAAAAAGCATGCTGTGGAGTGTAGTGAGATCGGCTAGGATAGAGACATCCAGTTTCTGTTACAATTGTGTATAAAAGTGCATCAAAAACTAATTGAAAGAAGACAACATATAACTTTAAGTTTATAAGTGTATTGTAACCTAAAAACTCCCATCTACCCAAGTCTTTATGAATACATTGGCACTCAAGTGAGCCCACAAAGATTTACATTGTGACCTATTCTAGCACAATAATTTGCCAATTATATAGAAACGTGGGACTGACGTTACTGTGTAGGTATGGCATGTGCAGTGACTATGTAGTACCACAGATATAGACAGTCACTTAAAGCATCTCTAAAAGCATAAACTTTATTTTTTTAGTTTAAATAGAGTAGGGAATGTTAAAAAAAAACACTTTTTTATTTTTTGCCTGCTTTATCTAGCAACTCAAAATTTGGGATTTTCCTTCACTTTCAGTCCTAGTGTCAATAGTTTTCACTGCATCAAAAACTAATCCCCCCCCTCAAAAAAAAATAAACCAAAAACACTCACACACAAAAATGTGGCTTTAGATACACTTAAATAATGTGTACTAATTTACGACGGTAAAGAACCTTCTGTGTGCAGTATTGCCCCTAGTCCCCTCCATACTTACCTGAGTCTCATCTCAATTCAGTGATGTGAATGACGGCCGTGGCTGTCATGGGTCTTTACCTTCTCATTGGCTGAGACAGCAAGCGGGAGCTACTGTCAATCACAGCCAGTCAGCCAATGAGGGGGGGGGGGGGGCATGGCTCCATGTGTGAATTGACACACGGAGCAGTGGGTGCCCCATAGCAAGCTGCTTGCTGTGGAGGCAACCGACAGACAGGAGGAGCCAGGAGAGCGTGCGGGGGACCAGAGAAGAGGAGGATCCAGGCTGTTCTGTGCAAAACCACTACACACAGCAGGTAAGTATGACATGTTTGTTATTTTACAAAAAATAAAAAACAATTGAACATTTAGAATCGCTTTAGGTTCAGTCATTTTTATTTCAATACAGCACTGAACACATTCGTTCCATGTAATGGTGTGTATCATATTACCTGCAGGCTTCTGCTTCTTGTTAAAAAACTTCCCTTCGGTGTCACCTTCATACTCACTAGATATTGCCCTGAGTGGTACTCTTCTGATGCCATGAAAGTTGTGCAGCTTGCCCGACCCCATTTGCTCTCTTCACCATTTACAAAAATCATAATTCTTTCCCCCCACAAGGCATTATTTTCAGTAAATGGGCAATAGAGGTCCTGTCAATCAACTGCTCCTCTTTCATTCACAGAATGTGTCGTATTGTTAATAGTGGAAAGAGCAAAAGGGGGCGGGCAAGCAGCACAAATTTTCAGCCTAGCAGCAGTGGCTGTTATCTCTCACAATAGTAGATAGCTGCTCAGGGCACTGAACGAAGATTTGCTTTTAAAAAAGCAGCCATCAGGTAATGTGATACACATAACATAGTGTATTTGGTGCTGTACCCCCCCCCCCCCCCCAAAAAAAAAGCCAAAAACAAAACACTAAACTTTTACAACTGGAACAGTGGAACTTTGTTACCAAAAATGTTTCAAACATTGACTCCATGGCTGCATCCAATGCTGCACCTCTCCACTGTAAATCACATTGTTGCGGAATCAAGTGCAGTATGCGCACTCTCTGCTAGGGAAGACAGTAGCAGTCTCATCACCAATTTACAACATGCACCAGGCAGATCAGTTTGTTTCTTTGGTAATTCTTCGCCTGTAGATAGCACATGTGCAAGACTCCTCTATATTTGCTCTAGGTCAGTGACACAGTAAGTATACTGAAGACAGAATCAAAGTTACAGTCCTGGAAGTTGAACGCTGAAACACAAGTCAGCATTGTAGCTTGCATACGTCTATTTTAACAGTTTCCATTTAAGACAGGTCAGCTAATGCTGTCTGCCAAGATGGTCAGCCAATACATACAAAAACAGACACCAAGAAGCAGCAGTAGGTCAATGGGATGGAACCCCGCTGTTTATTTGCTTCTATATGTTAGTATTGGGGAGCCCTGTTGAAAAGCTACACAAACTATGAAATGGCAATAAAAATACTAATGAATTTTAAAACTTACACTCAATATAAACAGAATATTTTTTTTTTTTTTAATGTAGTGATGATTCTTTAACCACTTCCTGTCTGGCCCATGTAGATAAAAGGCCAAACGGGAGCGCTGCAGATGCGGGTGGACGTTACTAAACGTCCCCCTGCATCTATTGCCTGTGTGCGCTCCGGAGGACACAGCGGAACACAGATCGCTGTACAGGACCTCTGTGTGAGGTCCTGATTCACATCATGTGATCACTGATTGGTCAGTCAGTGATCACATGAATAGTATTAAACAAGATGTCACTTCCTGACATCATTGCTTACTACTTGTGAAATCAGTGAATGATCACAGAGGTCACATGGTACAACGCTATTTACAACAGCCTTCTACTACGTGACAAGCTGTGACCAACCACAGCTCTCACAGTATTTCTCAATGGCTGCAGGAATGCAGCCAGAGAGGAGAAATGATTGCATTTACAGCCTTTATGGGTGTAAAAACAATCAGTGAAAATAAAGAAAAAAAAATCTTCATCACCCTCCCACAAGTAGTACAGTGTCACTATAGTGACACTGTACTGCTAGGGTGACAGTATGTTAAAAAAAAAACAACATAAATAATAAAATAAAATAATAAAAAAAATAATAAATAAATTTGGGTTTTTTTTTTGTTTTTTTGTTTTTTTCAACTAAAAAGATAGATGAATACATTTTAGGCAAGATTTATGAAGAAAGATTATTTGCTAAATTTTATAAGAAAAACACCTTTCAAAATGTTTGGACTTTTTCATTTATATAGCAAAAAAAAAAAAAAAATCCCAGTGGTGAATAAATACCACCAAAATAAAGTTTTATCGGTCTCAAAAAAATGCTAAAAAAATTCATATGGGTACAGTGTTACATGACCGCGCAATTGTCATTCAAAGTGTGATAGCACTGAAAGCTGAAATTTGGCCTGGACTGGAAGGGGGTGAAAGTGTCCAGACTTGAAGTGGTTAAAGGAAAGCTGTATTGAAAGAAATATATGGGCTGCACTTCTGTTGACCTTCTGAAAGTGCTAATTGTCTGGATATTTCTGACTTTAGTGCTCATTGACCTGGAACCAGAATTTGCTAGAGAAGTCAGAATTTCTGATCTGCATATTTTTCTGGCCAGTAACCTAGCACATACTGAAACTTCTAGATCAGAATAATAGACAAGCAGATCAAGCCTGGATCTAGGGGATGCTAGAATGGGCTATGCCTCTTGGATTTTAGTTGTGCCCCCCCCCCCCCCCCAAGATCACTGGGAGTGCATCTACTAATCCATCAGACTTGATGGGGGCACTCTGATGGAGACAGTTGATATAAGGGGTACTCTGATGTGGACATTTTATGTAACGGGTACTCCTGTGAAGATACCTGATGTAAAGGGGGGCTCTCAAAGGAGCCCTGATGTAAGTGAGAACTCTGAAGAGGACTCCTGATAGGGACACTTGATATAAAGGGGCACAGGTTCTGTGTAATCATCCAAATCTGATGACAGCCCAATACAAACTAGCATTCCCTGTTCAATCCTGCACCACCTCTGGACTACCTGTCAAGACGTCACTTCTGGGTTTTGAATCAGTAGTACAGAAGTATGCTGGGTGAATAGGGAATTCTGGTTCCATGCATCTCTGTCACACTATTAACATTTTCCCCTTACTTTTTTTTATCTGTATCTCCAGATTAAAAGGCAAGATCCAGCACTGAACAGATAGCTGTTTCAAAGGAGATTGTAGCATGAGAGCTAACATTTTCTCAATATCGCCTTACCTTCCAGTATTATATAAAGATGCAGTGCTTTAGAATACACATTGCAGAGAAGATTGTAGATATACTGTACATACAGGACAGCTGAGATTCCCACTTGTTCTTTAACCACTTTACTATTGCTGCATATCTTTACATGGTGATGTTCTAGAGTGCCTCCTTTACACTGCCCTATGATTATATGAGAACATCATAGACGAAATGCGCCGTGCCTATACTGTTTACATTTGACAGCCATCTCCATTCTCTCACAATAGAGGAAGCACAGGAAGGAAAATTCACAGCAACATATTCAAGGGGGAATGGGGGGGTCTATTAAATAAATGTAGGTTTTTGTTTTTATCCCTTTCTCTTCCTCCTTCCTTGCAGATCTCATCTCCATCCCCCACTGCATAGGACCTGCACACTAACCACTTTATCTCCTCCTCTATCATTGTATGACCTGCACATTATTGATGTATCTAATGCAGTGCACCATTACCAAGCCCCATGTTTTAACAACCTCAATAATGGCATTTTTCATCATTTAAAAAAAAAGCAGCACCTTAGGGTGTCTACTTTCCACAAGAGGTCATTTTGGCAGGTGTCTGTACTGTCCTGGCAATTTTATCTGATGTGTTTTATAAAACAAAGTATTATAGTAAAAAATGAAAAACCCCGTGGTAATTAACCTCTTAAGGCCGCCCTATAGCAGATATACTGCTACAGGGCGGCACTTGTGTGCAAAATCACACACACACACACACACACACACACACACACACACACACACACACACACACACATATATATATATACACACACACACACGTGATTTTGCATTCCCAGGTAGGGGGCGCGAGCCATGCATGCACCCTAGCCGCGCCGCTATTTGCGGCCTTGGATGTCAATCACTGGGTCCCGGCCGGTAATTACCTGCTGGTGCCTAGTGATTACCGACAATCACCGACGGTCAGGAAGACTGTTTTGTTTACAGTCTTCTTCCCTGTCAGCTTGAACATACTGCTCGGGATGGCTGTGCACTGCACAGCCATCCCAATCAGTGTGCTTACAGTAGAGCACACACCCCCGCCCCCTAGTAAAGCACTGCCAGCACATAGTTCACCCTTTGATAGCCCCTCACATTAACCCTTTCCCACCCAGTGCCATTAGTACAGTGTCAGTGATTTTTTTTTTTAGCACTGATCACTGTATTGGTGTCACTGGGGATGTCAGTGAGACTAAGTTAGTTCCCCCCCAGTGTCAAAATGTCCGCTCCAGTCTCGCTAAAAGTTGCTGATTGCGACCATTACTAGTATGGGAAAAAAATATAAAAAATCCCAGTATCTATACCGCCATTTATAAACGCTATAACTTTCACATAAACCAATTATTTACATATATTGGGATTTTTTTTCTGGCAAAAAAAAGTCGCAGAATACATTTTGGCCTAAATTTATGACACATTTGATTTTTAAATTTTTTTTACTGGACATGTTTAATAGCAAAAAGTCCAAAATATTGTTTTTTTTCAAAATTGTTGGTCTGTTTTTGCTTATAGCGCCAAAAATAAAAAACACACAGGTGATCTAATACCACCGAAAGAAACTTCAAATCGTGGAAAAAAAGGACGTAAATTAACTTGGGTGCAGCATTGCATGACCGTGCAATTGTCAGTTAAAGTAACGCAGCGCAGTAACACAAAAAATGGCCTGGTCAAGAAGGGTGGTAAATCCTCAGGAAGGCAAGTGGTTAAAGTGTACTAAAACCAGGACCCTGCAATCACTATATCTGAGTACATACAGGCTGGTACAGAAGTGATTAAATAGATTTCCAGAATGAACAGAACAACATCAGATGAGAGCATGTAGCATTTGTTACTGACCTGGGGCTTTCTGAACATGGCTTCACGTGTCCTTGACTGCTTCCTTCCCACACGCTGTTGGCCAGCTCATTACCAATGGCTGACATGACTTTTATGAGCTCAGGCGGCCAGTCATCAAGGTCTAAGGAACGGACACGGGATAGATGGGTCCCCAAGTTGCGATGAATTCCAGAACACTCTATGCACATCAGGGCTCCAAGGTTCAGGCTGGCCCAGTCTGGGCCTATAAAGATTAAAAAATAAGATTAGCATGGTGCACAAAACAACTAAATTTATTTATCCAAGATTTGGCAATAAAACTTTATATGCACTACATGAACAATTTAAAAAAAGAGAAAATCTTGTTTTGACACATTGATATACCGAGCCTAGTCCAATATTTGTAGAAGCTTCATCTTTCCAATTTCCTTTGCCTGTCTGAGAAAGGAGACTAAAAGAATAAAAGGAGCCTATTCATCAGAAATCACCTGTTGGATTTTTTAAATATATTCTATGTTTTGCAGAATGCAACATAAATGGGGGCACTCCAAAGTGGCTGTTAACATTCAAAACTCCACATAATAAAAATTTACTGCATATTTAATCTGTTTACTTGAGTAAAAATGATCAAAGTGCCAAGGCCTCAGAATCATTAAGAATAAAAGCATAACTTGAGACTATCACTGTCAGTGTAAGATAGTCACAATAGTATATGAGGTTGATAAAAAAAAGGCTGATGTGTATGAAGTTAAACATTTCAAAACTCATGTAGCTTTGGTTCAAAGAAAGACTAAGAAATATGACAATTGTAGTCAAGTTTGGTACACAGGAACAATTAAATTATTACTCCTACCCTACCCCCAAAAGACAGTCCAATCAGTCTGTATCAAAATGTTTCTCTGCAATCATTTATAAGCAGGTTGTCTTTATAGAGCCTTCTTGTGAGGTCTGTAAAACACAACCACAGGTGGGGGTCTACGTAAAGCCCACCATACATGGATTGAAATCTGGGTGGTTCAGCAGGGACTGGCTGAATTTCAATCCACATATGGGCACCCTGGTTGTTCAGAAGTCGATCTATCGATCAACTTCTCTATAACCACCCTGTTGGGTCACTTTATCCAAACAATCAGTGCTGGCACTGGAGGCTCCCAACCAACAGAACACAACAGCGCAGCAGGAGTAATTCCCCCCCCCCCCCCATCTACCTCGAGTGGGTGGAGGGGAAATCAGCAATTTTTTTTTTAAATTTCATTTACCCAACTGGTTAAACATAAAAAAAAATGTATAATGTATGGCCTGTCCAGGTCAAGTTGTATTTGCAGTGTACTGACCTATCATCCATTGCTAATACTATCAACTCTTTTCTCCATTAGTAATGTGAGTGGGCTCTATGTATTATGTAAGGCGCTACATGTTAGCTTGATTTAAATACTGGCAAGATATAGGAAATACCTTCAATGACTTCTAATTCACTATCTAATATGTGGCAGGCTTCCAGAAAAGATGGGTATACACTAGTAGAATTTCCAATTAAAATTTGCACAAAAACTCTCAGTAAATTCGAACGTTGTTCAAAAGTTTACGTTTTTGTTTGCTTTTAACATTTGATTTTGGAATGAATGGACTTTCGTGAACAAAAACTACATACACTGTTAGAAATTGGTATATGTGAGAAATATATATTCCACCCTGCTCTCTTGAATGTTTATGTTACTGCGTGCAAAAACAATCAATGATTTGACCCCACTAATAATGAGAAAAACAAATGAACATTCTTACAAATGTCGAACAAAATTCTACTAGTGTATACTCAGCTTTACGCTAAATAATAAGTGAAATTTGCACTCTCCCATAATATGCAGACTCAAATGTCCTACCCAATGTGTTCTTATATATACTGAATTCATTTTCACATCAATAACCCATAGGCAATGTTTATTTACACTGATTAACCTGTGAGCCAAGTCTAGCCATAGACAGGGCAGATCTCCTCCAAAGTGACTGACTTGTTATCTGTATCGGGTCCCACCAATGCCTAATGTGTGACTCTCTGATTGACCGAAGTACCTCAGGCATAAATAACATCTTTCTTCCTTCTCTGAAGGATCGGCAAGGTCACATGGAAATATTCTAACAAGCCATGCAGTTCAGTATGCTATAATAAGCACTTCGATATGGTAAGCACTCCTAATAGCCTCCTAGTACCCCAACATACCAGACCCTCTCCCGATTGGCCATCCTAAGTGGTTCATTTAGTTTCACTAATAACTCAGTCACATGAGCTGTGTTGTCAAGCATTCTGCTGCATTTTGCAGAGCCGGCAAAAGGTATGGAGATGAGAAAATCTGTTGTTTTCAACAGGGCCGATTTTCACCACCTGGAGTACAACGGGAAATATCACACTCATTCCCCGTATTTTACAGTTGTTTGGGTTTGCTGACCTGCATTTTGCTGCTGAAGTCAGCTGAAGAATGTCACACAACAAACAATAGCACACAGACATTGGTGTAAATGAGCCCAAAGCATATAATAATTAAAGAAATCACTATTTTTAGCTTACGAAGTGGAACAATTTGTAGAGTTGGGAACATTCTGGCAGCCAGCAAATATTTATGTTATATAAAAAAACGAAAAAAAAAAACTAAACTACACTGCAGTTAGCTTATCTACAAACAGCTTTCTGCACTTAAACTGTTTATTTTCTGTAAATACATGGTTAATATTTAATTGTCAATTTTTCTAATTAGTAATTTAGTAAATTCTATTTTAGGTTTTGTTGACTTTATCTATATGGAACCTGCAATTGCTGCAAAGAGAATGGTGTTTACAATCCCATGTACAACAGCGCCCTCTAGGGACCGACTCATCATGAAATCAGCAGAAAAATGACTTAATCATGCTTTTCCAAAGAAGGCATCTAACATGTATCTGAAGAGACCTTCACATCTCCGTGGGTCCCTACGTACTTAAGAATATGGGAGGTTTAGTCTCTGATGACTTTGTACTTGGAGAATGTGAGGTTAAGAAACCCAGCAGTCTGCTTATCCGGAGGAGGCCTGCTAATGTTTGTCTATTTGTAGGAGAGCAGGAAGATAGTTCATTGTGCGTTCTCTAGGGATCTATACTTACTTGGTGCATCACAGTCCACACAATGAGAATTTCCTGGCAAATTGCGAATTGACTGTAGCGCTAAAGCTTCATTCTGGCTGGTGAGACGAGACTGAAGGGGAAAAGGAGCAGGAAAAGGGTCAGATGGTAGAGTGGAAGTACTCAGCAAAGCGACAGTCTTCTCTGATAGGAATAACATTTCTGATCAAAGCTATGAATTTAATGTGACTGTAATTAATCAATGATCCCATTAGTGTGTTCGCCAACACTTTGAGGGCATGTGCGCAAAACAAATGTATTTATTCCATTCTATTATCATGTTTAAAAATAATGTACTCAAGAAGCTATAAAGTTCCCTCTACAAGAAACATTTCTTTTAGATTGCTAGTGTCAGGATGTCTGTAGACAGAGAGATGCTCATACAGCACATCCACATCCTATAAAATAACAGAAATGCAGTGCTATACAAATAACTTATTTTAAACTAAATCTATTGTCAACAGATTAAGTGCATTTTCTTATTTTTCTACTTAAGAGATTGTGGCAAGCTGATTATATCTGACAGGGAATGGCAATATAATGCTAAAAGTAAATAGTGTATTGAATACATATTAACATTCACTGGCCTTTACAGGAAATCTGTCACACAGCAAGCACCTGAGTGAGAGGTCTCCCATACAGATAGACATTCTGTAATTTCTGGACTGTATACTAGTCCTGGATCAACTAGTTCAATTGCAGACTCACATTCACTGATCCAAAATAAGATAGCCAGGCTTCAAATCTTAGATCTCACACAGGCATTTTGCTTTGTTACGGTGTTGTGAGATCTATGAGAAGCAAACACAAAATAAACAGGGTGGCAGTAATCAAATTCCTCTCTAGTGCGCAGATGAGCCACTCAAAGTTAAAAGAGAAGTGTGGGAAAGGAAAAAAAAATAAATGTATATATTCACCTGGAGTAAATGGCTGCAGTGTCAGTCTGATGCTGCAGCTGCCCCCCGCCAGGTTCAAGCCCAAGAACTGAGCGATAACATGACTACAGAGCACTCAGTTCTCAGGTCTGCTCTGAACACAGAGCGGTGACTGTTAGGGCATAATTGTGGAGGGGGAGGGAGTGGCTGGCTCAGGCTCTCAGGAGTGCGTTGAGAAGCTGAGACAGTTGCCAGTCAGGAATCTAGGTGGATCCCAATATTATTGTCAGGATACGTCTAGACTCCAGAGACTGAAGTGGTTCTGTGACATCAGCTAACAGCAGTCTTTAGCCCAGTACTGGCTGATTCTTGGTCACAGAAGAGCAAAAGTGCACTCCTGTGACCCACAAGAGAAGTATGACCAAACAAGCCTTGGCCATACTTCTCTTCCAATATATTACACATCTAGCAAGACGGAAGTCCTGAAGTTCAGTAATTAAATCTGTATTTAACAGCTGGAGGAAGTGAACAGAAAATTTGGTGTGTAGGACCTGTACTTTTTCACATAAGGTTTTCTATACATAAAGCCAAAAGGAGTGCTTCTCTGATTTCTGGGGCTTACAGAAACCTCCCCTATGTATGAAAGCTGTACTGGGCACAATAGCTCAATACAGATAACCATGCAAAAATATTTGCTTGCTTTAAGGACATATTGAAATGAATGCAGACTGCAGGGATGAATTACAATTGAATTATCATGCTTGTACATTTTTAAAAGCCCTAAGGTAGGCCAATCCATTCTGAGGAGTCCAAAGCAGGAAACAAATGCACTCTATTGCATGTTTATGTATTATTTTTTGTTTTTAAAGATAGTCATATTACTTTTTACACACACAGGATCTGCTTCCTGCTTTGAAGTGCTACATAATGATGGTGATACTCTCTCTTGCAATGTAAATCTACGAGTCAGCTAACTGATTGAAAAAAATTCACTCAGTGTGTGGCCGATATCCCAAGTCAACCAATAATGTAGGGAAACACAGAGATCTCTTTAGGGGTTATCTACATATCTCTATATTCAATCTAAGGCCAAAAAAAAAACAACACAGCAGTAATAATGTATTTGGTACAGGGGGAAGTGGGAAGCCAAAAAAGGATAGACAGTTGTATGGTTTTAATCAGATAAATGTCCATGAACAGGCAAATGTTACCCGTGAAATACCTTTAAAGCTAAATTACCTTATTTGGATAACCATTCAAATTTCCCCAAGTACTTCTGTATTCACAAATTATGGTTAAATATAATGTTAATGGATTCTTACCTTGTTCTTGCTACTTTCACAGGACTGTAGACTGGCAAGAATTTGGCTCTCTATGGCCTGTACCCAGGCATCCCGCTCTTCATAACTTGTAGCTTCAAAGTGCCAACTCTGGCCAGTGAGGGACACAATGATGAACTCGAAGTTTTCCTCTTGTTCTGAAATAAAGCAAGGAAGGGGAAGAACTTTAGTCAGATATCAAATCTTGTTTATGCCTTTGAACCTTATATAACATTTCACAAATTTTTGTAAAGCAGAATTCCCTCCATGAAGCCCATAGCAACAGCCAATCCATACTCGACAAAATATGGCTGAATGCCATAAGCAACTCTGAAAATGTGTGCTCAATACCTGAGCAAATGAAGAGTATTAAAGTGAATGCACAGTCCTTTAAGTGTGTTTAGATATTCATGTAAAAGAGATCAGCCTGCTGTAGATAAATGTTTTTCCATCAAGTGTTTCTAATATACTCTATATTGTCAAAAGTATTGGGATGACAGTCTTTACACGCACATGAACTTTAATGGCATCCCAGTCTTCGTCTGTAGGGTTCAATATTGAGTTGGCCCACCCTTTGCAGCTATAACTTCTTCAACTCTTCTGGGAAGGCTGTACACAAGGTTTAGGAGTCTGTCTATGGGAATGTTTGACCATTCTTCCAGAATTGCATTTGTGAGGTCAGGCATTGATGTCGGATAAGAAGGCCTGGCTCGCAGTCTCTGCTATAATTCAGCCCAAAGGTGTTCTATAGGATTGAGGTCAGGATTCTGTGCAGGCCAGTCAAGTTCCTCCACCCCAAACTCACTCATCCAAATCTTTATGGACCAAGCTTTGTGCACTGGTGCCCAGTCATGTTGGAACAGGAAGGGGCCATCCCCTAACTGTTCCCACAAAGTTGGGAGCATGAAATTGTCCAAAATGTCTTGGTAGGCTGACGCCTTAACAGTTCCCTTCACTGGCACTAAGGGGCCAAGTACAACCTCTGAAAACAACTCCACACCATAATCCCCCCTCTACCAAACTTTACACTTGGCACAATGCAGTCAGGCAAATACCATACCAGACACGTCCATCGCATTGCCAGACAGAGATGCATGATTCAACACTCCAGAGAACACTCTAGAGTCCAGTGGTGGCGTGCTTTACACCACTGCATCCGAAGCTTTGCATTGCACTTGGTGATTTAAGGCTTGGATACAGCTGCTTGGCCATGGAAACCCATTCCATGAAGCTCTGTACACACTGTTGTTGTGCTAATCTGAAGGCCACATGAAGTTTGAAGGTCTTTAGCTTATGACTCTGCAGACAGTTGGCGACTTCTGAGCACTGTGCGCTTCAGCATGTGCTGACCCCGCTCTGACATTTTACGTGATCTACCACTTCATGGCCGAGTTGCTGCTGTTCCCAGTTGCTTCCACTTTGTTACAATATCAATAATAGTTGACTGTGGAATATTTAGTAGCAAGATCATTTCGCAGATGGACTTATTGCACAGGTGGCAACCTATCACAGTACCACGCTTGAATTCACTGAGCTCCTGAGAGTGACCCATTCTTTCACAAATGTTTGTAGAAGCAGTCTGCATGCCTAGGTGCTTGATTCTATACACCTGTGGCCATGGAAGTGATTGGAACACCTGAATCCAATGATTTGGAGGGGTGTCCTAATACTTTTGGTAATACAGTGTATATGGGGAAGCCATATTTGCTTATTATGTACACAGGAAACTGTTTCCTGTTTCACAGTAATACACAGCAAATGTACATTACTGCCACTTCTCACACTTTAAGATTTGGGTCTGCCAACCCCACAGTAAAATCAATGCAATAGCTATAGGGTCATACTATACAGAAAGGACCATCAGGAGGCATATGTATACCCTAGTGTGTACAAGTATGTTGCTGGTAGATTAACAGTAGCATGAATGCTCCTGTTTAAAGCAAAAGAAGGAGGGAAATGGGTGCACAGACAGCCAAGGCACCGGTGAAAACAAAAGCAATCAGGTAAGACTTTCAATTTATCTAAAAAAAAAATGCATGTTTGGCACTACCTCAGACATTAAATTGTAAACCAATCCAGCCAAAAAAAGTCTAGAATGAAACGCTATCATCTAATATCTACAGCCCATAGCTCTGTGGACTGTGACCAGCAAATCTCAGAAAAGATTGGACATCTTAGTAAATCTTGCCAGTTAGTTACTGTTTCCCCTGAGATATTCCGGAGCCAGGCATTTGCAATTATGCACTCAGCACCCAAGTTTTTGATGCTTTTCAAATTGTTTCTGCACATCTGTTTTAGGTGGCTAAAGACATTAGAGAACATTTGCATGATCCAGCCAATTATGGTTACATCAAGAAACTTCTGTATCCTCATGAACTGGATTCCAGGAAGGCAGACTGACCAGAATAGCATTTACCAGGGCAACAACTATTGCTTCTTCCTTGTAACATGGTAATAAGCATTGCATTCTCTCTCTTACTAGACACGTGTTGTACATGCAAGATGGCCATCGTCCGGCTTAAGAGACCACGTTCTCCAATTTATTATAACCCCTAACAAAGATATATAGTATGGTGGTCTAAAACTGCCCAACCATCATCTAGTCCTGGCAAAATCAAAGATATCAAGCCATGTATTTAATGGCTATGGACAATTTAAAGGAGATTTAAATCCTAAGTGGACATTTAGTTTTTCAAAAACACTGTGCATCATATACCATTGCTATATTTTGTTTTTTTAATAAAAATAGGGATTTTTTTTTTTTTTACTCAAAATCCTTTTCTCAGGTTCAACTGAGGGACACACAAAGTCTTTCAGCTTCTGGTTATACTGACAGGAAGATATAAAGCTGGGAAGAAAAAACAAAAAAAAACATAGGCCTGCCCAGGATAACCCAATCTTCTAGCAGAATGCCTCATACACTAATACTGCTCCAGGTCAGTCCACTCACATCCCTCCAAACACTGGGTGCCTTTCTGACTGTAGGCTTGAATGAAGAAAATAGGATACCCTAGGGTAGTCTCATCTCCCTTGCTGCATTGTACCTTATTTTATAGATTTTCAACAACAAAATAGACAAATAGACATTTACCAGAGTGTAATCATATTTTTTATTTGATACCAGCATTCCTCAATTTTTTAGCACAGTACCAAGAGTACGATCATAACTACAGAAGGGTTGGAGTCGTGGCTCCTAATGTACTCCAAGAAAAGGAGTTTATAGTGACTACATAACTCTTATTTTCTTTCTTTTCCATTGAGGGACACAGAAGTCTTTCACCTTCAGAAGTCCAAAAGCAGTCCAACTGAGAGCTGGGCAACACAGCAAACAGACACTAACAGGTCCCAGAACACAACAGAGAACTGGAAAATACCTGTAACTCAAAAGAGCCATTTGAAAGACCTTTCACCCAAAGCTGGCATCAGATGAGGCCAAAAACTTCCTTTGGTAGAACTTAGAGATTAGTTAAACAGGAGGCCAGATAGCAGCCTTTTAAATTTTGTTCTTACATGCAGGCTTTGTAGTCCAGGACTTTACCCAAACTGTCCTACGCATGTGTCCTGACAGAAGACCAAGAGATATGCAATTTGACTCTACAGCCATTTGTATTCTATAACTAAAGTTTAACTGCAGCCATGCTAAGATCTCTTTTAGGGACTTTGACCAGTCAGACATAATTTGGCAAAGTAAAGTTACAGGTAATTGGCAAGGCCCACCAGAGAAGGCAAAGTTCTAGAAAGCTTTAGGGAGGACGTACGTGATCCATTTTTTTTTTTGGTTCAACCACTGTTGCTGGCTATAGCCAGCAGCACTGATCGTTCAGAAAAAAAAAACAAAAAAACAATAGGCTGGTTGTACACAAGTTGATCAATAGATGCTATCCCCTGTGCATTTATTTGTCTTAGTGTAACATCATCCATTGCCCACGGTTGCAGGTGTGCATCTCTGTACACTTGAAACATCCATACACACCCCTTGAAGCTGTGTAGAAGCATAATCTTTGCAATGGCTCACGGCCACTGGTTAGCACGGTCATGTGACAGCACTGACTAATGAGACTTCTTTTGTCTTGGAAGTAACCAGAGACTACAACTGGTCAGCACTGTCACATGACTGCACTAAATAATGGCCAGGAGCCATTGCAAAGACTATGCTTCTCCTGTGTATGGATGTTTCAAGTGTATGAAGATGCACACCAACAACCGTAGTCAACAGATGAAGTTCGATAAGGACAGATAAATGCACAGGGGAAAGCAGCCGTAGGGCTGTTAAGAAGGATTTAAGAAAAAAAATTTAGTTGTAAAAGGTAGAGATGCCTTTTAAATGTTTTTTATTTCTTACCTTTTAGATGTGTTTAGGGAAGAGACCTCATGGCAGATTGCAAACATTTCTGAACAATCTCCCACTGTCTCTGTCCCACACAGACTGCGGACATACTGAGCTATCCCTCTTCAAAAATGCAGGAACCCGTTGTTAGGACAGAAGGTGTTCTTATCAAATTTAAAACTGATAAGGAGATCTGCTAAGTAATGCCATATGAAAAAGAACAGTAACAAATATAAAGCAAGTGTTATCCCAATTTGGCTGCAAAAGTGGAAATACACTTTAAAGGACCCAAGACAGCACTGGTAGCAGAAACAAGCTGATCCCCTTTTAAAGAGGACTCTAATGCATTGATAAGAGTTGAAATGGTCTCCTTTAGTTTGGGAGGTATATTAGTAGACAGTGACTCCTCACCACCAAACTATCCAGATGGCTCAGAAGCTACCAAGGCCACAGGTACTTTAGATATAGAATCTGCAGGGGAAGGCGAAAGAGCGTGTTTGTGGGCTTTGCAGTCCGAGTCTGCAAATAACTAGGTGATTTGGGACAAAGTCTTGCATGTCTAAAGCAAAAACCTCAGTCAAAGGGCAGAGGAACCAGCCACGCCCAACTGAGCTAAAGAGGACTGCAGTGATGGAATAAAATTTAGAAACAGAGGGATGCATGATTCCCACCTTCAAGGGTTACCCTGTACTGGCCTACAGTGATTTCTATTTGTCCAATCCTCCTGAAGGCAGCTGTATAAACAGAAGGTTAAAAACACCCAGTGTTCCTCAATGGGCCCAAAAAATAGATTTTCACAGTGACTACAAAAATCGTATTTTTCTA